GATGAAGACAATATAGACAACGACGAAGAAATCGCTTCAACCATTATCGCGACATCGACAAGCTAATTGTGCTGGTTGTAAGTCTCGCGTGCATTAACTACATTGAATGCATGTCTTTAACTTCATTGAATACAAGTTAGTTTTACCTTGCAACTCTGTAAATTTGACATGGAGCTTTTCGTAGAGGCAGCATTGATAGGGCTTCGTCGTAGTGAGCGTAAAGTGATTGCATTTGCAGACAGGAATCCAGATTTCAAGTCAGCTGCCAGGATTAAATCATGGCTAAATACCTGATTAATCATGCTAAATGGTCTATTCATTACTGTACGAATCTGTGACAAGGACTTAGTCCTGGATACAATAGGATTAAATCCTGGTTATACGACAGCCCCACGTTCATATCTTCCCACGTCCTCAGCAAATCTTCTTCATATATGGATACTTATTTAAGTTAGATTGTGTCGCCAGGATTATTCTTGATTATTTACATGTATGACTCCTCCTGGCCTGGAACAGCCGCCTTGTTTTTTCGAGTTTAATTCAAACGTATACCGTCTGGATAATGGAAAGGTATACATAGGTACATCTGGACGAATGTTGGCCGTGGCAGCACGTATTAATAGAGAAAATGTAATTCTATAAATTACTGGTATATGGAGAAGGCGAACATTTTCTCAAGCACCAGAATACCGAGACGACGAGGCGAAGTATCGACATGACTTTGGTAAAGCCAATGGTAGCTCGGCGTTATTCGCTTATTATGATGTTCACTCTGTTGACGCTGAGCATGCGTTGGGAAAACGTGACAAAGGGGTTTCGCCTTGTACAGGTGTACAACAGTATTTAATTTGTCTACTTTCAATGATGTTCCCATTGAAGCTAAACCCGGATGAATCGTTGAATGAAGACCTTGCCAAAGCCATTAGCAAGATGGAAAAAAATGATTCCATTGCTCTTCTTTTGGAGCATGAGTACACTGAAAATAGTAAAGAACTCTTTGGTTCGAAGTGTCTTAAAGGTGCTAACCGTGCGAGATTTCGTGCTCCCCTGGGGGCGAATACTTTCTCTGCGACCGACAAGAAATTGCGCTTTTTTATGGACCGGTTGCTCCACGGCTACAGCTACAAGACGTATGACGAGGATGAGGAGATTGATGAGCATGTTGAAAGGATTAATTGAAATTCTGTAACTGGAGATGACCTAGGACAAAAAGGAGATCGACAGCAAAGTTCTACTTTCTTAATCCTACTCAGGAGACTCTGTATGAGACCTGGATGCCACACTGGACCCAAACCAAAGATGGTGGATGTATTGGGACTGAATGCTCCGTCAACGTCATTATTTATTCCAAAGTTGCGATTGTTGCGTGCGAAGTATTTTATTTGGACCATATTTCAATCATCACAAAAATGGTCAACCTTCTATTTCGTACCTGGTCAAGTGATTTGATCAAATATCCATCTTAAGTATGGATATGTGTGGTCGACCACCTCCGTCATTTACACTTTCCCGACAACGAAGATAAGTAGCGCCCTTCCTGTACGACCATGAACCAGCAAGTTGTAGCGTCTCCAGCACCTTCTTCACCACTTCACGAGGCCACTATCTGCTCGCCTCCGTGCAGTCCAAGGCACCAGAGCACTGCGAGATCTCGGCACAGCCCCGAGCGCATGCGAAACCCAATCTCTCAGAGCGTCTCAGCTTCGTGACGTATGTTACGTCGCTGAAGTAAGTCTCGTTCCTGCCGCAGTCCAAGCTGTTGGTGTGTCGACGACCACTGCAACGGTCCACGCCATCAAGACTCTGCTGGTCGTGGCCGCAGCTCACGTCATCGTCACTCGTCCGGTCGCGAGTACAGTCCAAGTCGTCGGCGCAGTCATAGTCGTGGTCGCGGTCGCAGCCCACGTCGCCGGCGGAGTTATGGTCGCGGTCGCAGTCCAAGCCGCAGTACAAGTCGTCGGCGCACGTCTCTCCGAGGATATAGCCCAAGGCACCAGATCGCTTCTGTACAACCCCGTGAAAGTCGCTGGCGCGGCACAAGTTCGTCTTGGCGCTCTTTGCATTGCCGCTACAGCTGAAGTCCTCATCGTACCGTTGGACATGATCAGAGACGGAGTCGTCGGAGAAGCTCAAGTTACGTGAGCTGGTCGAGTCGACGCGAAGCCCAAGTCGTCGCTGTAGCTCTTACACTCGGCGCGATTGCAGTCCTCGACAACGTGCAGCTCAGGGGGGAAGAAGCTCAACTCCATAACGAGGCTCTAGCGATGCCTGCAGCGAGCGTTTTCCTGGCGGCTTAAGGGGATCACCTCCATCTTTTTTGAGTAGAGAAGGCGATCACCAGTGTGTCATATCAAATTCACCTTCTACTGGGCATCCTGCAGACGGAGAAGCCGCTGAAGGTATTACACTGCATGTTCCAGCGAACAGTGTTCAGCATCATCGTCGCACTGTTGTCCATGCAGCTGGTCACGTATTTACAGGTTACCATAAATTGGAGGTTAAGATTTCGTACAGGTGAAGCTCCTGCCGGAGTACAAAATGTAAGGCAAAGTTACATTACGATATCAAGACAAATGAGTACCAAATTCGTGGTGAACATTCTTGCGACCGGCGTAGAGTGGAATTACCTGGAGTAGATGTTATCGAATCCATGGAGGAGGCCACTGATGTGATGGCTATCACTCGAATGGACCTGACGGCGGAACGAATCTGGAAGCAGATTCGCAGCGACTTCTACCCTGAGGAAGTATCACTGGTGCAATTCGGACTTACACGTGAGTAAGTCCTCCAGCGAGTTCACCGAGCGAGACGTGCTCGCTTTGGCGCAGATTTGCATGGTATTGTGGAGGTTCCGCCGCTGTCACTGGTATCGGGGACCACACAGCCATTCTTTCAATTTTACGGGTCCTATATGAATGGAACAACACTAGAGCGCTTAGTCGGTTGGGCTCATCCTGATCTGATCAAGCTACTGAAGTACAAACAGACTACGTTGTTTCTCGACGGGACATCAGGTGCGTCCCGCGCCCATTCTACCAGTGCGTGGTAATGATGGTTTTTGATAATGCAACGGACCTATTTGTCCCTGTATTTTATACATTGTGCACGTCAAAGACCCAAGATACGTACTGGCATTTGATGGAGGCTGTCAATGTCGCTGCAGACGACAAAATCGAGCCGAGCATGGTGGTCTGCGACTTTGAGGCCGGATTGTAAAAGGCAGCACAAGTTCAATTTTCAGATGCAGATATCGTCGGCTGCTACTTTCACTTTAAGCTGGCCTGCCGAAGGAAGATGGAGGCACTAAGCCTCCCTGAAAGTGAGGTCGTCATTGCAATGAGTAAGGGCAGTCTGGATATGCTGACTGTCATTCCGCACGAGAAGATCAAAGACAAAGGTATTAAATTTGTGAAAGGCAAGATAAGAGACACGTGTGTAGCCAAGAGCATTCGGTATTCGGACGTGTTGAGGAAGCGGTTTTGGTCGTATTTTCGTACAACGTGGCTGAAGACATTCACACCTAGTGTTTGAAATGTTCATGAGGTGGGTGCTGCTATGGCAAGTCGTACTTATAATATTTTAGAGCGTTTTAACCGCGAGATAAACGCGGAGCTAACAGCTCCACACCCTTCTCTACCATCATTTGTCGGCATAATCCAAGCTCTATCGAAACGCTATGTCAGCCGAATTGAGGATATGTCCAAAGTCCCCGAGCGAAGAAACGGCAACGCCTAGCTCCTGAGCCACTAGATCTCCCTGTCCCTGTGGAACTTGGAGGAAGTGCAGACACCTTAACGACGAACGCGTAGATTACGTAGAGTAGTAAAGATATACAATTTGATGTATATATAGAAATGCATGTAGAAGGTCTTGTATACCAAACAATTTCAAGTCACTTCAGATTTGATCAACTTTCGTCAGTTCAAGGGATTTGATCAACTTTCGACAGGGTCAAGGGATTTGATCAGCTGGCCATTTATGTGATGATCGAAATATGATCCAAATAAAAGTCAAGGAGGAACTGGCCGTTCGGCCGTGGAAATGACACCGATGGCTTAAGCGATGAGAATACTCAAGCTGCACTCCTAAATATGGTTATAAAGATAGCTATGAAAGTAAATGAAAGGGAACTATTCTTGATGAAGTCCGTTGGTTTATTATGGAGGTGAGTGATTCGTTGTAAGAAACCCTCTCAGCTCGATCCCAAATCTGAAAGCGCAGATCTGGGTGTGTTTGGGTCATCTATCCGGTATTTGTCGGACTATTGCAGAGATCTAGACTTGGAGGTTGAAGAGGTTAAAATTCCTGTCGTCTACCGTTACCAAGCGGATCAAGTGGCTGAAAACTCAAATCAAAAATCTGATAGAAACGTTAGTAGTATGACATGGAACATTACGCCGGCAGTTTTTTTACTTTCCGTAATTTACCACCGAGACCAGTTCTGGAACGTTCTTTCGAGGCAGCTGGTATTTTGGCGACGCAACCTCTCGACCACCTGAGAGCGAAAGCAACGTCTTTTCGATCTTAGGGTAGTTTCAGAACCGCTCGACCACTGAGAACAGGTTTGTCTGAATTTCAGAATTAATTTATTTTTCTCAAAAAAAAATAAGACCCTATGTATATAGATACACATAACTAATAACATGTCGAACGAACTAACTTTTGGAAAATACAAGGGCACACCGATCGAAGAAGTATATGCTTATGATCCCAGATATTGTCGATGGATGCACAACCAACCCAGTCTCAATATTACTGAGGATATCAAGATTTTCCTTCACTTCAAGTTTCTTAGCAATGATAATTCGTATATGATGAGTTGGGGCAAGTACAAGGGGAAGACGCTAAAGCAAATTAGTCGCACCGATTCTAATTATATCAATTGGCTTCGTAAGAACCCATTCGTAATTGAGAAATGCCCTAAACTACTCAACGAACTTAATTAAGCGACAAAAAAAATGTTTTTTTGCCTATGACAGAAATTACTAAACACATTCTAACTAAGCCGTGGTAAAATCTAAAACCTCTCCCGTTAGACGATCGTAGGAGAGCTCTTGTTCGCTCACAGCCAAAACAAGCATGTTTGTTCCCTGGCAACCAGCGTTTGTACCCTGGATCTGAATAGCCTGAGGTACATCACGCTCCGTCAGGCGGCTAACGTCAGCGATAAGGATGCGGTTAGTTAGAGACCACGTCTGATAGTCAAGCAGTCCATTCAGAAGCTCAGGGGTCAGATCACCATTAATCGCAGCAATTTTAGCGAACTCGTTTGTGAATTGGTGGAAATCGTAGTCATGACTAATGTCGAAGCATTGAGTCGAACCGATACGGACATTGAAGTTGCGAATGCTCGAACCAGGCTGAAGTGTCCAAGGAACCGTATCAAACGGACTCTGAAACTGTTGAACAGCAGCAGTAGTAAAGTTTCCAGTTTGCTCAGCAAATGGTAAAAGAATGACGTACTTCGCATTCTTTACAGAAGCCGAAAGTTGCAGATCGAAAGAAGCATTAAGCTGTGTCCCTTGCTTGCCAATACCGGCGCGCTGGTAAAACCACTGTGCATAACGGTCGTTGTAGCGGACCTTCTTTACTGGCTTCGAGATGATAGCCTGAGGGTTCTATAAATGAACAAACGGGACATACAGTCGAGAAGTCGTGAAAGGCATGTAGGTTCCATCAATAGTAGGTTCAAGCGCATTGACGACAGCACCCCATGAAACAGCAGTAGAACCAGCTGTTGAACACTAACCATAGGATTACTACTTGCCGACGAAGCAATCATTACAGGGCATGTATTACCACTCGATAGTGTAGTACTTGTAAGCGTCATATAACGAGAAGTATCAGCATCAATAGCTACAGTACCCTGATTAACCCGGAAACGAAGACGGATTTGAGGGCTAGCCATAAGATCAAGCTCCTTGAAAATCGGGTGGAGATCAACAAGCTTGATTTTTAGCATGAAGTTCCACGTTCCCATGATAGCGCCAGCAGCATAGCCACCCGCCACGAAAGCGCCACGTCCCAGCTGATTGGCGATGGTGGTTGTAGCAGATGCGGCACCAGTGGAAGGCCACGACGTAGATGAGTCAGCTCCAGCATTTAATGGGTTCGAAAGAAGGTGCTTAACAAAACCATCATTTGCTACTGAAGCTGTGGCAGAGATAGCGCCGGCGGTGAAGGAGGAGGAGAACGCTGTGTTATTCGAATACCCGTCTCCAGTAAAAGAGCCCGTAGCACTGTACCTCGACGACTGAGCAGCATCAGGGAAGAGGAAAGACTCTGCACCATGCTTTTCAACATACGGAGGACTATATCCAGTCTGAGCACGAATATTGCTCCAAAACAGCTTGTAGTCAGCCATAGAAACGATAGTCTTACCATTCAGCTCAAGACTCATCGAATCGATCACACTCCTATATTCCGCACTTCAGCGACCAGCAAAAACGGTTAGCAGGATTAGCCTGAACAGTAGGAGCATGAGTGTTTTTCATCGATACCTTGTATGGTAGCATAATGTAGGCATCACGGAGCGAAGCAAATCCTTCACTTCCATTAAGCTGGGATGTTGCATCGATAGTAATAACACCGTTTTGGTATGACCCCTGATTAAGATCGATAACGAAAGGCACGCGCTTGCCAGAGGAGACTTTAATATCCGGATCACTCTTGAGCGAGCTCTGGTAAAGATATTGGTCGGAAAGTTGTGTTTCAGACATCGTTGAGATTCTATATGGCACGTAATATACTTTATCAAATATAATTATTATGGAACTCGTCAAGCCTATTACATCCGATCATGATCTAATTGAACTTGCCAAGCGTATTGGGGTTCATCTCGATGCTATCTTTGAGTCAAATGAGATCACAAAGCCGCTTCCGAAGAAAGGATCATATCTGGTTCCACTTAGATCGCCTAATCTCGATGTAGGACACTGGCAGGCTGTTCATGATGGAGAATTCTTTGATTCAATGGGGGGAGCGGCACCTACGAAGTAGGGCATCGGGCGATACAATCCCAAACAATATCAAGGCACTTATGGCGATTATTGTGGTCCGTTTTGCATGCTATGGCTATATTGCAAACAAAAAAATAAGATGAATCTATTGAATCGATTCAAAGTTCTGAATTTGTCAATTCTGTATTAAATATGTTTCAGGAAATATAGCAATAATGTATCGCGAATTGAGGATTTCCAGCGATGTTCCAGCTCCCAAGCTGACTAAAGCCCTCAAGACAGGTAAGCTAAGTCTTACAGCTGATCAACTCAAGGGTTCAGGCTCTGTTATCCATCTCCACCCAGCTTCGTATGAGAAAGCACTAAAGGCACGCAAGGCGGGTCGTGGGGTTAGACTTGACATTACCAAGCATGAGATCAAGAAAGGCTACAAGAAGCCATAAGGAGGATCCATTTGGAGTCAAATCAGGGTTATCGACAGCATTCAAATTCGTAAAAGATAGTGATTTGCTGAGCAAGGGTCTGGATGCGGCAGTACCTGCTATTGCTACAGCGTTTGGAGCCCCTCAAGCAGGAATCCCCGCAAGGGCGGCTATTAAGTCATTGACAGGAGTTGGAGTATATGACTCTGACAGCGATACCCCTGGTAGAGTCTCAAAACTCTGCCTACGTCCGAGCCTTGCTCGATGTAGAGAAAGAAGGTGGTCGTATTTCGGTAGCGGATGTTAAGAAGGCGGCAAAAAAATGCTCTCGGGCATGCTAAACGTAAGGGGATTCTAACTGATGCAGTCGATGCAGGCGAGAAGTTTCTACTATCAAAAGCAACCAAGCCAGAGCATGAGAACCTGATCAAATCGGTTCGAGGTGAGGTAAAGAGACGCTATGGTGTAGGAGTCCCTAAGAAACCAGCTAAAGGTTCGCCCGAAATGAAGGCTCAGATGGCTGCACTCCGTGCTAAACGTAAGAAAGCAATGATTGCTGGCTCTTTTCGATTAAATTAGTTCCACCCTATTCTGCGGATTGGGAAAAAAAAAATCATTGAATGCTTATTTTTTTGGCCTCAACAACAACATGATCGAGACAGAAGTATCACGGAACTTAACCTTTTGATCGTTTTGATTATAAATACTGATCGTAATAGACGTTCTCGCGCCGTTATGACAGTTCATCCAAGCATACTGACTCGGCTTATAGCTGATTAATTGACCTACCTGAGCATCACCACGGTCAAACGCACTAAGGATATCACCAGAGGCAACATACTCGTTTTTGATCAGGTCGCATCGAACGATGTAGCTCGAGATTGGGTGAATCTGAGGAATGGTATTTGACAGCTGAGCACTTGAAACCGTTGCAGACGCTGAAGGATACGTACCAGCAGTCAATCCTACTACTTTACCAAAAGAGGCGTTATCAATGATGATGCGAGTGACACGCGTTGTTGTTGGCAAACCAGTACCGCCTGACGAATAAAGCCCACTTGCTGGTCGTGTCCAAGTGCCACCGGCTGTAGGAAGTGTCGTTGGAGTAGCGCTAAAATCGAATTGAGCAGCATAATACACACTGTTTTCCGTTAGTTGAATATAGAAAACGTTCTCACCAGATGGATTAATTAAATACGCTCCAGCATTTACGAGAGCCGTCTGAATGCTTCGATTAATATCGGTATAGCTGTAGTGTCCATCAGGGAGGATAACAGATACAGTGGATGTGGCTCCAACTGTCGGAACCTCGATTTTGAAGGAGTTATTCAGGAACTGAGTTGCATCGATGTTGTATTCAGAGTTATACATCGAAATCGATTAAACCGCGCATACCACATCCCTAAAATCGGCAGCACTACCAGGAAAGCTGTATTTCCATGTGCTGTTATAATTGTCTTGAACGAGGTCAGTGGAATCGAGTTTAACAAAACTTGCCATGGTATATGTATATTGATTCACCCAAACAAAATATTCTAAAGTTATTGCTCAATATCTATCGGTCGATCAAAGTTGTATCTGATTTGACCTTTGACTGAATCCACGAACAGCATATGTCCTTTGCGCTCCGTGGCTTTATTGTAGTAATAGACGATTGATCGCTCATCAACGCCTTTAATGTTAAAATCCTTTACAACCACTTGTAAATCGCGCTTCGAATTCGCTTTTAGAATCGCTACGTACTCTGAATTCAACCGAATCATCTTATCAGTGGCAAAGTAGCTGTGGCTTAGGAATATGGTTGAGAGTTTAACCCAATGCCCGCTTCACGATATTCTGTATAATACAGAGTAAATGATTATCTTTATTAAACTATAGCTGCCACTTTTGCAAACTTAATGCATTGCAAGCCGTCCGCAATGGGATGTAGCGAAAACGCTGCGACCAGGTACATATAGACTGCAATCTGTCGTAGAAAAACAACAATGTGCCCACCGGCTGGTAAAATGTCATGATTTCATTGGGCAAATGTGACGTGACTTTCGTCGCATATCCTTCTACTTCGAGTATCCCGCTGAATCTGATGGGTATGGGCAATCTGCGTTTGCGCCTAAATGACTGGCGAAGCGTGCCACTACGTCACCCGTACGCTCACCAAATTTTCGGCCAGTTCTAGACTAGCAAGAGTAGAAGAAGAACTAGGCAAGAACTGGCCGAAAAATTGGTGAGTGTACGGGCTGCATTATCTACGCCTAGTTACTCGCTATCCTGGATATCCACGCAATCATCATTCGCGTCGCTGCCGCCGTCGTCGCTGTCGCTCGAAATCTCAAAGTTCTTTCGCTTGCGGAAGCGAATACGCTTCTTGAGGTGAGCAGGGATGGCAGTGCCGTTGCGCCACAAATCATGCCATATTTGGCCGCATGTGAGCGTGTTGCCGGTTTCCTCGTGGCGAACCTTGTTACATAGAGGTACGTAGCCTCCGAAGTTGGATGTGCACTGCTCGCAGTAGTAACTGGTTTCAAAGCTCTTTGTCTGGGGAGTTGCCAAGGCTGAGCAAACTTTGCACAAGTGCTGGCGGCGCTTGCCCTTACGCTTCTGCCCTTTACGCTGGAGGTTGCTGGCGGTTGATTCATCTCTGGGTTTTTTTCGCTTCTTGCCTTTGTATTTTTCCTCATTGTTTCGCAGTCTGTGCGGTTGCGTGTGAATAGGCTCAGAAACGAGGTCCTCGGTGTTGGTGTTTGTACGCAGTGTGGCTTCGTTCGTGGCCAAAAGCTCGGTATGAAGTCGGCGCATATACTGCGCGTGTGTTGGCACTGGCAGCCCTTTTTGCTTGAGAATAATTTTATGTAAAATAAAACCGTTGACTATCGCCATGTCCACAAAACTCATGAAGAGTTGCCGATAGTACTTTTTGAACGGCTTGGGCCACCCAAGCCGCTCGTTGCGGTGAGTACCGACGTAGTAGAGATCCTTGTCCAATAACTCCAGCAATAGAGCACACGACGTGTAGAAATTGTCGGCGATGATAAGCCTTTTATGGGCCTGGCCATCAAGCGCCTTAGTCACGTTCCTGATGACTGCCTTCTGTGCCACACCTTTCGAGTACTCTACAGCGCCGAGATACACTTCCATCCTATATGTTACACAATACAGCATACGGTAAGCACTCGGTTTCTTATTCTGTACGATACAGAGTAACCAGACACAGAATACAGTAAGCCACCTACCGAGTACAGTATCCGGTCTCCGCGCAGCAAGTCATGTACACTTTAGTCCCGTACTTGTGAGGCTTCTCCTTATTATAGACGCGCACAGGGTTGAACTTGCTTCTGTTAGGAATGGTTCCTTCATCAAAACTGATGCGAGGCCCCAGCCGATAGCCACGATGAAACGTTTTTTCAAGAACCTGAAGAATGGGCCGAACTTTCCAAGCCTTGTCTGTGCCTGCGGCAGCAGGGTCGTTTTTGGTGAAGTGCAAGTACCTGGTAACTAACCGGAATCTTTCACGTTTCATGTATCTGGAGAAGGTACCGCGTGGTACTGCACCGTCCTCCCGCGTCGCCCAGTGCTTTTCCAAGCCATCCGTATGACCACAGAGTGTACGAGCAATCAGAAGGCCAATCACGTGGAGAATTTCATGTGCTTGAATTGGTTTCATATTGCGCAGCTGCTCTTCTAAGACTTCAAGAGGTTGAACCGACTTCACAGGATCCCTGCGCTGAGCCTGTAGCTGCTTGTCTCGTTGCGCCTTCGCCACAGCAGGAATACACTCCTCTCGATACGCGTTAGACTCCTTTGCAAACGCAAACCACATCTTCTTGGAAAGAAAATAGAAGAAAATTCCCAAAGGAGACTCGGCGAACGCAGCGGCAGATCTGGTGGGACCAAAACTTCCGTCGTACAACTCCGCTGCATCTAATACCACATCACCTGTATTCAGTAAAATACAGAATTAGATTTTGATATGATCCGCAATTCTGTATGTGCTGCACTTACCGGAATGATGCTCATCGTATATATCCCAACCTGTGGCTGTGAGTTGACGCATATTGGTGTCGTCTTGCAGGAACGCGCTGGAGTCGTCATCAAAGTCGCTGTCAGAATCTACCTCGCTTTCATACACTGATTCAGGCTCCGCAGGAACGTCCAGTTCTTCCTCAGTACCCAACTCGCTACTAACATCACTTGCGGATCCATATCCAACGTTGATATCTGCAGGATCAATCTTATCAAAGAGCAGCTCTCCACGTAACGCATCCATATAGCTATCACAATCAAATTCATCTAAGCCATTCGCAACACCACTGCCACGTTTCGATTCTTCTTTGCCGTGACCCACGGATGCCGTGTCGTCAAATTCGGTATCCGACAGAATATGAACACCCGTTGGTCCAGCTTGTTCTGTATCCTCCGGAATACATTCAACAACTGATAGCTCTTGATCTGTACCAGCGATACCAGTATTTTCGACAAAGTGGCCTTCTTCTGTATCATCTACAATCGACCTCGCTTGTTCTGTATCCTTGGCAATAGCCACACGAACCGGCTGAACTTGTTCTGTATCCTCAGTAGTAACACAAACGGAGGACCGATCTTGTTCTGTATCCTCTGCAATATCATCACCAATCGGTCGGACTTGTTCTGTATCCTCCGTAGTAACGTCGACAGTATGTTGATGCTCTGAGCGGGATGGAGAATACTGACGGTCCAAGTTGCCGTCACTTGTGGTGGGGGGAATTGGTTCTTGTCGTTTGGCTGCTGTGTACGCTGCAAGCTTCCCCATTGGAGGCCTCATCGGACGTATCATACATTGTTGAGGGGGGAAAGGTACTAGACCCTCACGCAGAGCATACTTCCACAAAGGCTTGGGACCTACACCACACAGGGTTAGAGGGAGTAGTTATTACTGCTAAACACAACGTACCGATAAAGTAATCAGTGTCAGCCTTGTAGCTGTCTAGCTTTCCTTTCACGCCAGGCTTGAGATACGCATGATCGGAGAGGAGGCCTGAAGGGGGTCTTGCCCGCCAACCAGCCTTTTTTAGCGACCCCCACAGACGCTTGAACTCCTTCCTGTCAATCGTTTCCGGCATTTTTGGTTGAGTGGTGGAGGTTTTGGGCAGAGAGGAGCTAAAGGGCTTGCATTAGAATTTAAAAACCTCTAGGCCGTTTATATCGAATTTTCTATGTGTTTCGAATAATACCTTTCTATCTCCCCCTCGCCGATCGGTAATGATAAAAACTCCCATGGTGGTCTATACAAACTTTTATATGCGGTGTAGTAGCCTAAACGACGCCGCGTCCAAGCTGTTGATTCATTTAAACCTGCATCATGTCATATTACGTATTATACAGATTACGGCGTTCATTGGGTTAAAGTGTCCCCCACGTGTATAGTAATGAGAGAAGATATTCTTCTGAAGTAGTTTATCATTGCTATAGTCATCGATGATAACAAGCTCCGGTTTGTTAGAGCTTAATGGAGTATGACGCACCTGATCTACTTTAGAAGGGCTATCTGGGTCAGCAAATGTGATGAATCCTTCCAACTTTTCCCGGAGATACTCATAAAGCTCCTGATGAGGATTATGAGCAATGATAGTTAGATGAGCAAATACGTGAGGAGAATGCTTGAGAATAAACATACAAAGATTGTTCTTTCCTGAAAAGCTTGGACCGAGCACAACCATTCTAAACAAAGCTTTCATATCCAATGCGGGGATATCACCCATCGAAGCAGACTTAAAAAAATTTGGAATCGGAGCCCCAAAGTCAGGAATAGCATTCATGACTAAAATCGTTTGATCTATATAGGATTAAACAAAATGAGTTCCGGTTTTTCACATCCACAGCCTACATTTCAATCATCCATTTATAATCCTTCATTCTATCTTTCGTTAGACTCGAGTGGTTATCTAACATACGATTATGCGCAGACACTATATTTGAGCAAGGATGATTACAGGATGGGCTACCTTAGCGGAGTAATAGCGGGAACTGCTTCGTACAGCAAAACTTTGATTCTCGATTCGTCCGGCAATATCAGCGGAATTAATAGCTTTGGAGCTTTTACTATTACTGGAACGCTACAAACCGGATCCTAACCAAATATAACGTCTCTCGGCTCTTAATCAGGTCTTACGATCGGTGGAAATTTATCGTTCAGTGGGTCATCGCACTCGATATCGATAACAGGCACTTCAAGCTACATCGATTGTCGAGAATATCGCCAGAACGGGACTATATACGATTTGGGCCTTTTTGAATACATAAACGGAGTTAGTTTTGGTACCGCAACGCCAAATAAACTCCTATTATGCGACTCAAGCTCGAATATCGGAGGCCTAAGTTCGGTAGCGGCTACTACTCTGACCTGCACGAACTTGCGCCAGGACTCGACGTATTATGACCTATCAAGCTTTTTAACATCTATTCCGACTTCCCTCTCGCTCAATAATCTGTCAACGAGTGGGGATATCAGCTGCTTCGGCGTTATCAATGGGTTTTTAGCGTATGGAAACCAATCAGCTATAACAACAGTAGGATCGCTGACAGAGCTTGGGATCAACTCTACAGCAACGAATGAATATTCTCGATTACTGGTAGTGGATTGGACTTTCTTGATGGTTCTTACACACGAATGATGACTCTAACCGGGTCGAATACGACTCCTGTTCAATTCCAGATCCAAGTCCATAATGGCAATCGATCAACCACAGCGAACGCGTCATGGATCGGGAACATCACAAACAACGACCTCAAATTTGGGGTCAATAACTCGACGTCGATGATTCTAACTACCACAGGTCGTCTTGGTCTTGGTACTACAAGTCCTTCGGCTCCGCTGCACGTCCCTGGCAGCAACAGTTTTGTATTTGGAGCAGGCGGAACGACAGTGTATCGCCTCAGAACAGATAGTGGAGCTACAGAATCCGCTCTTGGCCCGAACACATATTCAGTAGCGGGTATATTCGGAGGATACATTGCCTGTACAGCCATGGCGATGACGTCGGATCGACGCCTTAAAAAGAATATTCAATCATGCCCAATTGATCGTGTGAAGCGGCTCTACGATAGCTGTGAGGTCAAGCTCTATGACTGGATCGAGTCGGAAAACAAGCCTGGACAAGAAATCGGTCTCATAGCTCAGGATTTGGTCTCAGCCCATCTAGCTGATTTGATATGGATCTTTAACAGAGATGATATTGAAGGGGGAGAAGACCCAAGCCTTGAACCAGCTAAGCAACAGCTCAACGTTGATTACAGTCGAACATCGGCTTATAATATGAAGATGATTCAGCATCTTTTGGGTGAGATAGATAGATTAAAAGATCGTTTGGCTAATATAGAGTCATGAGGATTGAGCGCTTGGAGTTAAGCCCTTTGAAGAACAAGAAGTATCGAGTATGGGTACGTCTTAATACGGGAAAGTTGCGCAAGGTTAATTTCGGGACTCGTGGATACGCCCAATATCGGGATCAAACGCCTCTGAAGGCTTTTAGTCATCTTGATCATAATGATGAGGAGAGACGTCATTGATACTACCTTAGACACAAAGTTGATTACCCAGAACCATCAGCGGATTTCTATGCTAAGAAGTTTCTTTGGTAATAATATACAAGAAATGGGTTGCGTACCAAGCAAAGATCTTAAATCGAATTTAACTGCTGATGAACCTACTCAGGCAATTGCTTCCACATTCATGCGCGCTGATCAGATCGTAGCTCTCGGAGATAGTGCACTCGTTCCTATCAGAGATGCGAAGACGGGGGAAGATGCTGTCATGGAAATACATGTTGGAGAGAAAAAAATTAGTATATATCGCGGAATGGCGAATAAAGCTGTTAGATCTGGTATTGCTTAGATAGCAAACGTCTTTACAGACTTCGATTTTTTTTAGTTGAGTATGCCCATACTTTTCCTCCTTCCGTCTGGGTTGACGCATCCGTTTTCTTGAGCGTCTTGTCAAGATCCGTTGTTCAAACAGCTGCCTGGGTCTTTTAAGGGCGGTCATGGATGATTAGATTTTTCATGATGGCTTTTAGCTCTGCGACGTTGAAATCAGCGTTGTCGCCATATCTACCGCCTGAGCTGGAAATAATTCGGGGATTGAAAAAGAACATGGTTATTGTAGTCGCGTGATAATTTCCTTAAACTCAGAATCCGAAATTAGACGGTTGCTGTACATATCCACTGAGAGACTCTTAAGCTGTTTGATAATTGAAGGATTATCATTGCCTAATTTAAGCTCTCCTTTCAGCTTGTCATATTCAGCTCTTAGAGAGTCTAACGGATCCTCGAGGTGGTCATGGAAGTTATACTGAAGATGTGTAATCGCAAGGATCTCTTTGAACAGTTTTCTATCATCGATACTGAGCTTGTCATATGAAGCTTGATCGATATGATTTTTATACACAAGAGTTCGGATCATTGATTGTAGACTATCACTGATTTGACATTTGGGTCCGCATTTGCGGCGATAAGGCTGAATAATGACAAGGGTTTTGTTATCAAGGTCAGGAATTCGGATATACTTGCTTCCGAGCTGACGTTATACATAAGCTGAAGGTGTAGCTAAGCCTTGAATCTCATTGAGGTTGTATGTACGACCGCGTCGTACGACACCTTCGAGTGGAGCAACACCGGCTCCTCTTAACCCACACCCTGAAGATTCCTCTTAACCGCTGACCCCACTCGATCAACCATGTTATTCACAGTTTGGCGAACCGTGCGCTCGTCTTGTCGATCACTGAATTGATCAACCTCGGTGTAGTTTTTAGCATCGGAGTAGCTTTTAGCCTTGATTTGATAGACAGCCTTGGTCGCTTTCATGGCAGCGGTTGCCGCCTTCAACGCTGATCTTGCGGATTTTGAGTTCTTACCCTTTACTGTTCGCTTCGCCTCATCGTATTTCCTCTGAGCTTCGCCAGACTTTTGGAATGCGGCTTCTGACTCATCGTGGAGTTTTTGCAAAGTGTCATCGCGATATTGAGTACCCTCTGAGGATTTGATTCGAGCTGATGTATCTGTCGATTTTGTATTGTCGAGGATCGCTCGATTCAATAGCTGAAGATAAGCTTCGAGATTTTTTTCAATGCTGGATCATCATTCTCATAGACGCATCGCTCTATGTCTTCAAACCCGGTCATCAGGCTATTGAAAGTATCCATCCATCTAATGGTTTTCATAAGATCGTTGAAAACCTTGCCAGAAACCGCTTTGTTTTCGTGGTTTCTAATGTAAAATGGTTTTGCTGCGGTAGGCTCACTAAAGTAGTAATTTTGATTAGCTTTCACACCACTTTAGTTCCACCTCTTCAGGCGGCCGTTGAGCTCAGCGGCTATCCGGATAGCTTATCCGGACAGATCGCCGAGTACTTACCGTGATCCTTGGCTCCTAAGCTCTGGGTTATCAGCATTAGTTAGAGAACTATTCATATCTTCATCAATTCCAAGCTTAATTCTATGCCGAGCCTCACCATCGCGTGGCTCAAAGGCTTTTGCAAGTTTGGTGGTGTCTTTATTAGTAAATAGATCGATATCGCCACGATCTTTGACTAAATCAATAAATTTTTGGAATGTAGATCTTCAATCGACGTTCTTAGTAATCGCTGGCTTGACTCTTTCACTATCAATACCAAACACACTAATTGATGAACCATCAATCCACACGCATCCAGTTCTATCCACCTGAGATGTTTTACTCATGCTCTTGAGGATAGGAATGATTTTCTTTTTCAAACCAGCCGACTCAAGCACTGCTTTATTCTTAAAAATAGACCAAAGCAATCGATTCCTACTATCAACTTGATCTAATGAGGTTGACGTCGATGTGTCAAACTCGAAGCTGTCTTCAAGACGTTGTCTTGAACGGAATGCATCATCACCTTCACTTAAATCGGCGATTTTTCGTTTTCTCGTCAGTGAAACGTGATAAAGAGGGTCTTCAAGTCTCATATAACCGCTCTCATCGATTGATTTACTTTCGCCATCATACCAGATGTCCCTAATCTTCTCCTCTGTAGCCACCCAGTCAATCGATGAATAAGTCTTACTCTTTCTACCCGTTTTGGCTGCAATTAATGACCCCTTTTCACCAAGAAAGTATCTATTGTCATCCTTATCGGTTTTACGCTTAATTGGCTTAGTTCGAAGCGCTACCCAATTAGGATTGGCGGTTAACAATTTCTTAATCCTTGATCGCGCCTCCACTTGATCTTCGGTATCCATGTTTTTCATGCTTTTCATGTTTGTTTCAGCATCTAACATTCTTGGAGCATTGTCGATTCCAACATCAGCTGTTTGCTGTGTGTTATCGATACCAACATCAGATGTTTGAGGTCTCGCTTGAATATTTCTATCAGTTTGATTAACACGATCAGTATTAATTGAGCTATCTACCATCTGCACGCCGCTATCAACTCCAACATCGATCATCACAGGGCGAACATTTGGAGTTGAGCTGTCGCTCCGACGTGAGGCGAAGCGGGGTGTTGAGACCTCAGGGTTTGTTTGGGAGTATCCATCAATCAGTGTTTTTTTAATGACTCAGCAGACTCGGATGAGTCGGTCTGAGTTGATTCTGTTGATTTCTTTGGGACTGTAGTAACCCCATTCGTGATATCACTTGCCCATGACGTTCCTGCATACATCTGACGCTTAGTGTTGGATTGTCGAACGCGGCGCTGAGCTCTTTCAAGAAGCTCCCGCCGTTTTTGCTCTCTCTGAGCGAGCGATGTACAAGAAGGAAACATTTTATTGCTATATCAAACGAATCATAAAAAAATGAGTAGTGTTAAATTCCCTTACCACAAACTCGGCATAACTGAGTCATGTCTAAATGGTTTGATAGTTATGACAGATACTATTCCGCTCATTTAGAAGATTTAGATAGCGATCCTTAATGCAATGGAATGGAACTCCAAATATTGCTTCCAACTCATGTCGATACTTTCGATTTACTACTGTTTTACGAAAGTTTGCTGATGCATCGAGATTTATCAACTCATTCTTGACTCTACTCACCTCTTGCATGACCCACAGCTTTCGACGTAGCGTAGCAAGCTCACGTTGATTTTTTAAACAGTTGGGGCACATATTTATAATAAGGGTTTATATATATATCAGGTCAGAAATTTCAATAATCTAATTAAAAATAGTAAATATACTATAAATGAGTCAAAGCTTACAGAGGATTGCTCTAATATATATTTTTACACAAAGCTAATTATGACTCATTTGTGTGTTTTTTTTTGCCCAGTACTCTTTTTCTAGCATCGACTTCCGATTCTTATTTATCAATTGGAGATTATCTTGAGGTTCCCAGGAATCAGGCTCATTACCAAGCCATTTGATCAGATATTTGTACTTCCCAGACCGTGTCGTCTTATGATCCAAGATCTTCTCAGCTTCAAGAATATCGCCACGATTAATAACAGCATCTGTAGTCTCTGTGTTGACCATTTTAAGATCGTTTGGCGCCTAGTAGAGGGTATGACCATTTTTGAACGGATTTGGACTCAGCCATCAATTCCAGCGATTTTATAGACTGCTTTGCTCCATCGAGCAGCTTCTTTATCAAACGTCTGCTTTTTGAGACGGTACAATACGCTTGATCCGACGTCAAACTCCTTCTCAATTCTATCGGCTTCCACCTGATTATGACTCAGATCTGCATTCATTACTTTGCCTTTTGCCTCATTTGGAGTCATACCAATCGAACGGTGAAACGTGGTATTGTAGTTTTCAATAACATCAGTGATAAGCTTTTGCGTAATTCTCTTGGGGGGCATTTTAGTTAGTCTCTGTTTCAGCGTTCTGTTGAATCGTTCAATTTTTCCCATAGTTCCATGATCACCTGGCTCATTGTTGTAGTGCTCAATTGTCTTGGATTTGAAGAGCTCTTGGGCCTGTAAGTTCATGAACTCACTACCATTATCACTTGTTAGGATATCCACTTTGTGGAGACGAACAAACGCTTTAAGCGCTTCTAACACAATTGCTGCCGTCTATTTTCGTAAGAGCTTTGCGTACCCCAGCCTTGAGTTGATGTTGATAGCAGTCAAAATTGGCCGTTTCTTCCAAAACGCAAGATCAATTTGCCACGAGTTGGGGTTATGCGAAGCTATTTTGAAACCATTGAATCT